CAGGCAGCCTGAGAGCTATGGACCCAAAGCCATACCCACTGTGGGGATTCCGGTCCCTCCACACTCTCCCAGGACAAGTCCCCCATGGCCCTCAGCCATCCAGTGTCTGGACTCATGGGGTAGTTTTAAGCACCCAAGCCTTGCAATGTGAAATCAAGAGGAAATTTGGATTCTGAAAGATAACCTTGATGAGCAGCAAGATTCAAGTCTGGTGGGATGAATCTGACAGGCGTCCACTGCGTGAGGTCAGTGTGAGCAGCAGCAGGGAGGCGGAGGTGCCAGACAGCAGCCAGGGCAGAGAGACACAGCATGCGGGGCAGGCAGGCAGGCGGGGGACCAGCATGGGGCAGCCCAGGAATCAGAGCAATGCATGCAATGAGGTCAGTGCCACATCAACTGACAGGAGCAGTGCGAGCGTCATTCGTTTACTTTCACGGTGACCTTGCATTTATGATAGTGGTTTTCCACTCACAGTACTGATAACAATCTTCCCTTTTAAAATAAATTGGAAACGGCAACTCGATTCAAGGGAAAGTATGTCAGTATCACTCAGGTGAAATAGACTTTGCAAAATCATGGAGATGGTACGAGGATGGCTGAAGACAGAAAACAATGCAGTAGCTAAAGGCTTCTGTGGAACAGCGCTCCCAGCTGACAGTGACAGTGAGCTGATGACCTGTCTGTCCACTGCTGCCCTCACAGCAGCATCCAAGACGTCAGAGGAACTCAGCACGGTCCCAAAACGTCACTTTGGGCTGAACCCTGGCTGGGCAACATCGATCCGATTATTTGAGATGCTGAGTGGAGCAGTCAATTCTTCAAAACACAGAAGACATCTAAAAAGGGACTGCTCCACAAAAGCCAAGACTCTGTGCTTTGACACAGAAGGTGGAGATAAGGGCACCAGATTTAAAGTTAGCTGCCCAAAAATGAGTCTTAAAAAAATCTCACTTGACAGGGGCCACACAGTTTCGGAAGCATAGCGACCGCTGATGAGTTCTGTGCTGCACAGGGGCAAGGTCTACAAGCCTGCAGGTGCTAGAGAGGGGGCGGCACTGGGCCCAGGACTCACGTAGCACTGACACCCTGGCTCAGGGACCAGGCATGGATGCCCTGAGGCTCCCCTAACACTGTGCTGGAGTCTGGTCCAGAGGCCGAGACAACTGGTCTCCTTTGAAGTCAGAATCCAGGTTGGCTGCTTTAAGCTTGGCTTGGAATTTGGGTCAGGAGGAGGGGTCCACTATGGGTCATCTGGCCTTTTGCTACTGTTTTTGTTTTTCTGCTTGTTTGTTTGAATTTCAGACATGAAGGCAGGTACATTGTGAAGACACTGATGGATTAGAAATCCCCAGTGTCTGAGAAAGGGAGGAGCTAGTTAGAAGCAGGTGCGATGTCAGAGGAAGAGGAGAACTTCAGGCGTTTACAGAAACCGGGCGGGATGATGGAGACTTGGCCTTTTCCTCGCTTCTGCTTCTCTAAAAGTGACTCTTTTTGCGCCAAGTTGCTAAGTTGTGATCCCCCGGATAACCCAAGAGAGGAAGGAAAAACAAAACAAAACAGCAAATAAATGAAATGAATAACAAATGACTGCGTTAGCTAAATGTTCTTGGGAAATCAGAGTCCTGTCCTGCCCAGGAGAGTTGGAAACAATACCCACAGCACAACCAGGATCAGGACTCAGTGAGCCATTATGCTCTGACCCCACTTAATTAATTTAGTGGCGTCCTGTGCCCAGGCTTTACTTAGCAGGTGAGGAGGATTCTGCATTGCTCTAGGAGCCGCTGCCTTAGACTATTTTTCAATGTCAATGTGTTAAACTATTAAATAAGAATGTTTACTAGTTTAGGACCCGGTTTTTCTTACTCCTCCGCCCTAATGACCAGCTCCCTGACAACTTGGCTCACACACAACTAACTCCTGCTCCTGTTCAAACACCTTGGGACACTTCCTGGTATGCTTCTGGCTGCTGCAACAGGACAGTCCACCTGAACTGCTCACTAATAGTCCTTGTGCATCTCAAACAGCCTCTTATGGAAGGATGAGTTTGAAATTCCTCTTTTTCAGACCAAAACACTGTCAACATCAAGAATTATTCCCATTTAGATCCCTACGCATCCTCTACTGCAAACCTACACTTCATGGCCTTTAAATTATGGAGTCTTATCAGAGCAGACAATTGGCCTAACTTCCTGAACATGTCATGTACATGAGCATAACTGACTTATCCGATTTCTGACTTAGGATTCAAGTTCATAGAAGCACCAGTTATTTCTCTCTCCACACCACCACCTGGTGGCCACAGCTCACACCACAGGAGAGGGGACCCACTAGGCAATGCTGGTGCCCCAGGCTTGGTCAACACCATCAGGGACCAAAGCAGGTTTAACTGCAGGCAGTGCTCACAGTGGATAAGAGTTCAGGCTCCGAAATCTGTCAGACCCGGGTTCAGTTCCCAGCACCACCCCTTATTCTCTGGGAAAGTGCTTAACCTTGTCAAGCCTCACTCTCCCAGCGCTGAAAAGGGGATAGGAATCATGCCTGCTCCACATGGCAGTTGGGACTAAAGGAGAGACATAAAGTATGAAACTAGCTAAAGATTGCTGAGCCCAGAAACAGCCCCCATTACATGGCTGCCGTTACTAATATCTACCACTGACCTCCTCACTCAAGAATCCAAAAATATCGTTTGTTTTATTAATCCTCACCTGAGGATATTTTTTTCAGGGAGAGTGGGATGGAGGGGCAGAATCAGAGAGAGAAACATTTCTGTGAGAGAGACACATCAATTGGGTGCCACCCACACACTTCAGCTGGGCCGGGTATTGAGCCTGCAACCCAGGCATGTGTCCTTGACCAGAATCGACCCCTGGACTCTCTAGTCTGAGGGCTGACACTCTAACCACTAAGATAAACCGGCCAGGGCAGTCAAGCATCTTTTCTCTGAAAGTTTTTCTAGCTCTATTAGGCTGATTATCGTAAATTAAGTCAAATTAGACAATAACACAAAGGAAGGTGTTGAATGTAAAAAATTTATGTAGCCCCCATGAGAACCCTTGGCAACAGACACCTCAAGATAAATGTTAATAAGCTTCATTATAATTTCCCTGCATGTGAGCATTTGACCTAATTCACCTCCTGTAAAGACTGGGAATGCGAGCATAAGTCCCTAAACACTGGTATGGATGTGTGTGCACACTTCGTTTTTTTGCATTTCGAGGTCCTGAAGTGGTGAATGTCACCCAGGAAGGCATGTGCACAGGTCACACGCAGGAGGCAGCTTGTCACAGGCTCTGGTGCTGTAACAGCCGCCCCTGAGAGGGCACGAGTCTCAGGCCTGGGCTGGTCTTCAGGAAGTCCTGGTGTCCTTCATAAAATTTAAATTCTCAGGGTGCATGTTTGGCAGGTTTATAGGTAAGTCATGTATGAAATGATATTTAAAAGTAAATTGAAAACTCAGCCATGTTTAAAGCAAGTAGGATGCACTTTCTCCCTTGCCGGAAGCCGGTCCATCATTGCCGCTTGACATAGTCGCTGCAGGGAAGAACCATCTGCACAGCATATGTTTCAAGGGACCTGGTTTATATGGCATACTGTTCTTAATATGTTTGCTCCCCTACTTAACGCTATATGTTTTAACCAAGGTCACCTCTCCGAGAAAGGTTGTTTCTCCAGGTGGGGATTTTTCCCTGGAGTTAGGGATTAACAGGACTAAGAAAGGGAATAAATCAGTAAAAACCCTTAACTAAGTGCCTGGCCGGTAGTTAACCACTTTAACTATGAACAATCACTCTTAAGCTACATAATCTTTACTGAGGATAATCTCCTTCAGTTACTTCCTTGTAGCTTAACAGAACAATAGAGTAGTGACCTTGGAATGGAGATAACAAACATCGTAACCTTTGGAATAGAATGGATAGGATTAAAATCAATTGGTATAAATACAGATGTAACAGGAGAATAAAGACAGAACCTTGCTGGAGAACTGACTAGAGAACCTGGACAGAACCTGGCTAGAAAACATGACTAGAAAACCTGGCTAGGCTGCTGATCAACTGAACACTGTCTCCGTGTCATTCCTTCTTCACCGACTCCATCCACATCTTTGGGAACACCTAGACCTGCTGGGGCTGGACCCCAACACCCCCTCTCCCAAACCTTAACATCTCTGAAATCAGGATGCAGCTTCGATTCTGACTCACAGTCACTGTTGTCCTGGTGGCAATTGTGACAAAATCATCACTGCCACAACCCATTTATCTTCTTATGTGAGCACCCTTGTCCTGACAGCCTCTGAGATTCCATGAAATACATACAGCACATGCAACTAGGAATCCACTTCAGAACCTCTGGCAATTCCACGTGACAACCCTGAATGATGAGGTGCAGTGCACCCCATGGTGGCAGGACTCAAGGCCAGATCAGGTCAGAGAAGAAAACCAAACCCCCTTTTCAAAGTGACAGGAAGATCAGAGCCACAGGAGGCCTTGCTGAAGACGTTGCAGCTGTTCTCACGTGTGAAATGCACTGTGGATCTCCCTACAGAAGTGGCCTATTGTAGGCCTGGAGGAAACAGGGAACCCCAAAATCCTCTGCTGTGGAGCTTGTCTCTGCAGTAACTGTGTGGACACCAGCTCTGGATATTCGAGTCCCTACCACAGTGGCCATGAGGCGTTAGGCTCCTCATACTAAAGGAACTGAATTGTTCTGGGACGAAAGTACAGCAACACTGACTGGGGGTTATATTTCCTACTTGGGTGTTCACATTCCTAAGGAGACATTCCTAAGGAGACAGACGTGCATGTGTGGAGCACACTCCCTTCAGCATCCTACACACACACACACACACACACACACACACATGTGCACACAGAGGCAGTCTCCTTGGTTCTCCCCTGTCCCTGAGGGAGACCTGAGTTCCTCCCCTTCACTTCCCGCCTGCAGACAGGTCAGCCCCTCCTACCTTTTCCCCTGGGCTCCCTGCAGGTCTCTTGCTCTTCTGTTCACTTTGAGCAGCATGGGGTGGCCTGGAGGGGCTCCAGCTGCGATTGAAGAGGCTGAGAAGTACTGGGCAAGGCCTGGTCTGAGGACCCCAGCGGCCAGGAAGTCCTCTCTGAGGTTGACTTCCGTCGTTCTCTGGAACCCCCTTTCTTTAGTTTGATGAGTTTGAGTAAGAATTTGGCTCCAATCCAGTGCTTTTTCCTGTAAGTGGTAGGTTTTTAGGACACAGCCAACCCTCACTGCCCCTCCAGCAGGTGTCTGGGTGCCCTACGCGAGCTGGAATTTCCATCACCAGCCTGTAAAGGTGGTGGTTAATTTGGTTCAGAAAGCGGGTGCTCTTCACTGTCACCACGCTCACCCCACCTGGGGCTCAGGAGATGGCACACAATGTGCAGTTAATTCGCACAGACCCAGGGGTGGTAGAAGCCTTCATCGTACAGGAACCCACACTGGCCACTCGGGAGAACAGAATTTCAAACCCAGCTTTCAGCTCTTAATTACTGTGCCAAGTGCAGGAAGTGGTGCTATACTAACCTAATCATGCTGGTTGGCAAAATTCCACCAAAATGCCATTTTTAGAAAGAGTCAGGGACATCCTCACCTTCTGCTAGAGTTAATAATACCTGAAATAGGCTGGCATATTCTGCCCACTCCCGGCACTGAGGAATCTGGGTGAGGGGAAGAGGGCAGGAGAGTGGACCCCTTCAAGTAAAAACAGTGAGCCCTGGATGAGTTAGCCAGTGGTTGGAGCATCAGCCTGAGCACTGAAGGGTGGTGGGTTCCATCCCCCGTCAAGGGCACATACCTGGTTTGCAGGTTCCATCCCCGGCCCCGGTCGAGGTGTGTGCAGATGGAAACCAATTGATGGGTCGCTCTCATCTCTCTCTCTCTCTCTCTCTCTCTCTCTCTCTCTCTCTCTCTCCCCCATGGCTGTCACCTCCCTCCCTCCCTTCTACTCTCTCTAAAAATCAATGGGAAAAATATACTCTCTCTAAAAATCAATGGGAAAAATATCCTCAGATGAGGATTAGAAAAATAAGTAAATAAATTAAAACTGTGAATGTAAAAGGTAATTCATTCCAGCTAACAGGAAATGAAGCATTCTAATGTAACAGGGACCATAGCTAGGTTCTGGTCCTGGCTCTGCCACGAAACAGCACTGTGCTTACAGAAGCCACTCAATTTCCTCATCAGTGCCTCAATTTCCCTGTCAACAGAAGGGTCAGGCAGAGGTTCCGAAATTCTGTGGTTCTGTGATTTCTACAGAGAGGCCCTGCCGGATTCATGGTGTTTTAACCTCAAGGCTGGGCTGGGACAGGACAATGGGAAGGCCCAGCTCCTGGGCTCAGGCTCGGGCCCAGGGGGAGCCCTGCTGGATGGAGGCCGGCAGTCTCAGGGGTCAAATCGGCCCACCACCTGGGCTGCTGCTCTCTGGGGAAGGGAATGTGTTTGTGAACTTGCCCTCGGGTCAGGTCCAGTGAACCCAGAGGAATGGTGGTCAGAACAAAAGTTTCCTGTGCTTGAAGACAGGGGTGCTCGTCCAGCATCTGACCCAAGCTTCCATCCCAAAACAGAAACCTGGTTTTCTAAGTCCCGCAAACTTAAGACAAAGGCTGATATGCCTGCTTTAGTGGCTCTAAAAGCACAGACTCTGCCCTTAAACAGGCTCCTGACCAGCTGGCATTCACCATCCCTCATAGGATAAACCTGAGTATGGAGGGTGGGACCGAAAGAAACTCTAAATTCTTTCCCTGCTGGGAGGGACCTGCACACAGGGACCTGCCATAGAGCAGAAGGTACAGGCCCAACAAACTGGCAACTGCTCTAGATGCTACAGCTTCCCCTGCTCATGAAAAAGCAAACTTTCTGTCCTGTGTGTAAGCCACTGATGCTTAAGTCAACTCACTTCTTTGGCGCTGGATCATGGAACTTGTGCTGAGCCATGCTTTTTTCTTCCAGTTTTTCATTTTGTCTCTGTAAGGCATTTAATTTGTCTCTAATAGAGGAGAGAGAAGAACAATCTGGTTTTTAAAATAAAACACATAAATTGACTCAACACCCCACCTAGGACCTGGCCCAGAAGGAGCCTGTGTGTTTCTGGGACTCAGACATCACGGTGCTCATGACCACCATGACCCCTGAGTTGGGAATATGGGATGGAAACATGTGACATGGGTCCAGGAGCCTAACTCATCAAGGAGACGGCTGAATACCTAGGGTCAGGCTGTGCGTCACATCAAGAGAGAGACCCGAACCACCTGAAACTCAAGCTGGGAAACCCCGAGGGTTCGGGCCAGGTCAGCTCAGGATGCTGGGCACTCGGGTCAGACCCAGGGCTAGGCTAGCTCCTGCAGGTGCAGACCAACGATAGCTTTAGTGGTGGGAGGGGTCTGCCCTCGCTGAGTTAGACAGGCATCAGGTTAAAAAGGTCAGTTTAGCAAAGTCAGACCTCCAACCTGAACCCACTCCAATGTTGGGCTTCTGCTAACACTTCTAGTGAAGCAAACTCAAAGCCTTTTGGGAGCCAGACAGAGAAGATAAGGAGCAAAGTGGCCTGGAAGGACCTGAGGGAGGAGTGGGGGCTGCAGCGAGGCTGAGCGCTCGGTGCAACCTGGGACCCTACACGGGGCCTGCAAAGGAGCACCGCTCTCCATGTGGTGGAGCTTCTGACTGCTTTTCCCAAAGGTTCCAGAAGCCCTGGCTCTGAAGCAAAATCTTTTAATTTCTAAATGTGGGAAGTCAGTTCACATTTTTAAAAACACAGAAAGGAGCCTCTTAAACCTTGGGCTGCCAAAGGGCACCCCCGCTCCTGGGAGAGGAAGCCTGGCTTTCCTGAAGCAGAAGACATGGCATGCTTTCCTGTTGTCTGTCTAGGAGCCATGCACGCAGTGCTCGCTATACAGCTCCCCCCACTGGGATGTTGGCTCCTGTCCTGTCCCTGCCTCTCCTCACCCATGTGGCCTTGACAGCTCAGACCCCGGCTTTCCCTGCTTGAAAATGAGTCCTCGGCATCCAGACAGCTGCTCAGGCTCCTTCAGTCAAGAAGGTGCCCAGGCCCCTCCTAATATGAGGGCTTTTCCGTGAGTTCACCGCGAAGTGAGCATCCGTGAGAAGATTGCTTGCAAACCACTGGGTCCCTGGCCACAGACCTGCTCTGCTCCCAGCAACCTCGGCTCGGCCTCTGTTCTTCTAGTCTGTGTTATTCTGTTCCCACAGCCGTCCCCCACCCCTGCAAACTCATGGCCCAGCTATCCCAGGGCTGGGGATGACTCTGCTTGGAGCAGGCTCAGGAAGCCTGCCCACTCCCTGGCCTCCTGCAGACACTTTCTAATGCAAAACCGTCATCAGATCATCCCCAGGGTACCAGGTCCCCACTCTTGTAGTTTGCACCTGCCCAACCTCTGCTGGTAATTTTTAGCAGCTGCGTTATAGAGAGCCCACTTCAGGCTACAAACTCTCACTTCTACCCTAAAAGTACAGTGCAGTTTCCCATGTCAGTCATCCTTGGTTTCCCATGTCAACCATCCTTGGTAGATGTTGAGTCCCCCTGTAGATGAGCAGACGAATCCAGGAGAACAGTGAACAGCAGCATCACCCCGGGGATCTGGGACAGTACCCAGTGGTCACTGTGGCCATGTCCCTCTGTCCCACACTGGCCAGCCATTCCTGATCACAAGGAAGGACAGTCCAAACAGCACAGCACCGAGGGGTGAAGACCACCGTGGACCCACAAGATGCATCTCCGATGACTTGACTTCCAAACCACAAGGATTCCAGCACCAAGGCTTTTCCTCCTGCCCTCATTTCTGGCAGCTTCCTAGGCCCTGTACACCAGCATCCCTTAATCACCCACTTCCCAGTGAATCCCACTCATTAGCCAGGTATGGCAGTCTTCCACGGCTAAGTGCTGCCTCCTCCAGCTCCCCTCCTGCCACTCCCTGCACCTTCCCTGCGCCTAGAAAACGCGAAGCTCCACCTTCACGTTCCCCGGGCCCCCTCCAGTTCCCCACACACACAGGCTAGCTTTCTGCCCATCCGTGTCAGCAACAGAACTTCAACTCCCACCACCACGCTTCCTTCCATTTCCAGGAAGCTCCTCAACATCTGTTTGTGTGCACACAGCTCTGCTCACATCCCATCACCCCTACTGGTTCCTGGAGACCAGGTAACTGGTTCTGTGTATCTCACAGGGCCAGGACTGTCCACAAAGACAACGTGGGCAGAGGGAGGACAGCCACTGTGCACCAACAACCCACTCTGCAACCCATTAAGGGAAAAACCGACACAGAAAGGGCTCAGCCTGTGATCTGAAGTCCTTCCCTAGGAACCTCTCTTTACCACTGTTGTATTTTTCAAATTGACCTTGATCCCAAAAGCAGATTAAGAAGCGCCTGGCAGAGGGAAGTGTCTCTGTAAAGCCAACAAAGCCAACCACCCCTATTTGCAGAAATCTGGAACCATTCCCAGGAAAACGAGAAGGATGTGCTGGTAAGATGGTCTGTCCCCTTGCCTGGGACACGAATGCGCCCAGGGGGTTCTCTGCTGCCCAGAATGGCGCAGTCTAGTCACGGAGCTGTTGACAGGCATCCGTCAGCCCACACCCCTCACACGTACTGCCGCTGCTCCTCCTGGTGCTGGTCCTTGTACTCCACGTCCTCCTGGAGAAGCCTCTTGTTCTGCTCTTTCAACCTTTGGTTTTGGCTCTGTAGGTGACGGTTTTCTCCCTCCAAGTTGCCCTTGAGGCGGGAGAGCAGCTAAAACACAGATGGACAATGTCTCAAACACCACACGCTCCCGTGATTCCACTGCTGGGAATCTACTTCCAAAAGGAGAAAAAGGTCACATGCACAAAGATGGCCATTTTGGTATTATCTACGTCAGCTGGCATGACCAATATGGCCAATGCCATGGGGATGGCCAAGCCTTCTGTCACTGCACCGTCCAATCAGGCAGCCACAGGCCACGTGTGGCTGCTAAGCACTGAAAACGCAGCCAGTCTGAGCTGGGATGAGCCATAAGTGCAAAATATATAATAGGTTCTGAGGACTTAATAATGATTCGAAAATAATGTAAAATATCTCATTAATAAGCTGCCTGGTGCATGTGGCTTGGTTGAGTATCATTCCATGCACCAAGAAATCACCAGTGTAGTTCCTGATGAAGGCACATGCCTGGGTTGCTGGCTCCATTCCCAAGTAGAAGCCATGCAGGAGGCAACTGATGGATGTTTCTCTCAAAAAGTCAGTAAAAACATATTATAAAAAAATCTCATTAATAAGCTTTAGGGGTTACATGTGATATTTTAGATATAAGGGTTCAATAAAATAGACCCTTAAATTAATCTCACCTGATTCCTTTTACTTTTTGAATATGGCTACTAGAAAGCTGAGTGTTACATGTGGTGGCCTGCATTATATTCCTATTGCACATCTCTGCTCTAGGCAGGGTTGGCACGCTTTTCCGGTAAAGAACGAGGTACTAAATATGTTAGGCTTTCCAGGCCGACAGTGGTCCTGTTGCAACTGTTCAACTCTGTTATTACAGCAGGAAAGGAGCCAGAGAAACAATGCACACGCATGGGTGTGTCTGTGTTTAAAAAATAAACAAACCAAAAATCTTAACTCATGGACACCAACATTTAAATTTCATGTCACTTTCACTTGCCCCCAAATATCCTGCTTTTGATTTTCCCCAGCCATTAAAAACTGTGAAAGCTACTCTTGGTTCTCAGCCATACACAAACAGGCGTGAAGCTGGACCTGAATTTTGGGCTGAGGGTGGCCAGCTCCTGCTCTAGAATATCATCGCAGTTGGTGTAGCAGGAAGTCCCAAGCTTTGGCTTCAGACAAACGGGGTTCCAACCCGCTACTTCAGAGGGACAAGGATGGGAACCCCAGCTCACAAGATCATTGTGAGAATTAAATGAGATGACACAGAGAGCAGAGTGCTCAGCCGAGAGGACGGAGATACAATGGTACTTGGCTATTTCCATGCACCGCCCCGACCCTGCAAAAAGCAAAGATCAGGTGAAAGGTGTTCTGTAGCACACCCCTGCCAGTCATGGTGTTCATCCCAGTCAACTGCCTCTGGGTTCCTCTCTGCCTCTGTGTGACATTCACACACACCCTTTGAGCAGAGATGCCAATGAGGACCCATTCCCACCTGGTGGAGCCCAAGGCGTCAGCCCAGGGAACAGGCCCACCCAGGGTCCTGGGGCCTCCAGCTCTGGCCTCACCTGGCAGTGGTTGCCCAGCTCGGTCAGCGAGATGTCCCTGCTCTGGAGCTCCTCCCTGAGCCAGTTGCACTGGTCCTGCCAGCAGTTCACCTCCAGCTGGGTGTCCTTCAGGGAGGTCTGCAGCTTCTTGCTGTGCACCTGCAGCTCCTCCTGCTGCCCCTTCAGCCCCTTATACCGGGCCTGCCAGCAGTTCTTCTCCAGCTGCATTTCATTCAGGGATGTTTGAAGCTCGTTGTTGTAGATCTGCAGCTCTTCCTGCTCCTTCCTCAGCCAGTCGCACTGGGCCTGCCAGCAGTTCACCTGCAGCTGGGTGTCACTCAGGGAGGTCTGCAGCTTCTTGCTGTGCGTCTGCAGCTCCTCCTGCTCCCTCTTCAGCTGCTGGTGCAGGGAATTGGCCCTGGGGGTGGAGAGACACAGGGCCAAGGGCTGAGGCACACTCCCAGGCTCTGTCCCAGTTTTGCAACCTTAATCAAAACAGCAACCTCTCTGGCCCTTAGTTTTTTTCCTGTGTTAATGAAGGGTTGAACAAAATCAGCGGTTTTCAAACTGTGTTCATTGGGGTTCTAGGAGGCTACCCCAGCTGCCCCACTGGGTGTTGGGGGAGAAGGACAGGCAGGCTCGGACACCACTACAACAGAGCATCCCTGTAAAAGTCCTTTCTATGTGAGGCTTTGGCACATCTGCCTACTTAGAAAAAGAGTTCTTTGATTGAGACACTTAAACACTGAATCAGAACATTTCTGCTCTAAGACTCTATGTCTATATCCAGCTCTTCTCCCCAAAATCAAACCCCTTTCTAATTTCAACTACTGAGATAAATAAAATAGGAGATTCTGGAGTGTTACCTAAATCCACTGAAATTATCATCATCATCATCATTACCAGACTGGGATTCCTGGGGAAGATTTATACCAAAAAGCTCATATGACCAGAGGCTCTTGGACTCAATTTGAACACAGGTGTGTGAAATTTGGCCCACACAGCTTTTTAAAAAAAATTTAACATTTACTTATTTTATTCTATTTTATTTCATTTTAAAGTGTGTGTGGTTTTATTAATTCAAGTCTCTCCAATAAAGTCAACTAAAAAAATAAAATAACATAAAGAGAGGAAACAGAACAAGATAAAAAGATTCTCTGTTGTGGTTCTGTAAGTACTTGCCGGTTTAGGTTTAAAGGCCCCTGGCTTCAGACATGTTTCCAGGGCCTCCCACTCAGCGGTTCTCAACCTGTGGGTCGGGACCCTTTCACAGGGGTCGTCTAATATCATCGGAAACACTCATATAGCATGTCCCAAAATTCACGCAAGATTTGCAATTGAATTGAGTTGCATATCTTGCGTGAATTTTGGGACACCCGATATAATTACATATTGTTTTTGTGATTAATCACTATGCTTTAATTATGTTCAATTTGTAACAATGGAATTGGGGTCACCACAACATGAGGAACTGTATTAAAGGATAGTGGCATTAGGAAGGTTGAGAACCACTGCTCCTGGTCCTCTGTCCTGCCCAAACAAAGCAGATATTTTTGAAAAACAAACACAACAAAAAAATAATTATTGTACCAGCATTCCAAAATTTTAAGTTTCCATCAACATTCAGATATCTTCTTCTCAGAAAAAAAAAAAAAGCATAAAGAAGGATGACCTGGCAGCCTGGCCTGCCTCCCAACTGACAGCCTCTAACTGGGGTGTATTCTCCACCAGGACCTGGTCTATCACTGACTCTCCTTCCCCACCTGCTGGACCTGCCTGGCCACTGCAGGCAGCTGAGTTTACAGCCCCACAGCACATGTTAAATCAGGGCTGTGGGAAGGAAGGCTTCATGTGGTCAAGCCTCTAGGTTGAGGCAAGACCTGGATTTGAATCCTGCCTGTGCCACTAACTAGGAGCATTGACCTTGAACAAGTGGTTTAATCTCCCTGAGCCTGTTTTCACCTCTGTTGATGTGGTTTTTTTAAAGGATAACAATAGCTCAATCAATTATGATTTGCAGTATAATGTGAATACTGAACCTGTTCCCACCGGTTCTTGGGAGTCTCTGGTCACATTGTGTCAGCTGATCAAGACACAAAGACGCCTCCTGTAATACACTCAGAGCCAACAGCACCATACCTGGGTCCAAATGACCCTTGAGTGTCACTCGTACATTCCCCGTAAGGCCCAGCGCAGCCTTGCACTTGGGAACACTAGACAGCACTTCAGCACTCCATTTGGGAGCCATTTCAAACAGCGAAATCATCACCAAAACGCACAAAAATGAATACCATGGCACTCAATGGCCCATGAAGGGGAGGATGGTAGGTGAGAGCTGAAAAAAGGCTGGGGTCAAAGACTTGTTCAACCTCAGCTGCAAATGTGCACATCAGGCGACTCCAGTATCTCCCACTCTGGGCACGTCCATGACAGGCCACGGGCACTGATTTGGGGGTCACCAATACATTTCAGCCAGGAGGTGAATTCACAAATGGGAATGCATGAATGCTGAGGACCGAGCCTCCCTCCCTCACGGGATCGCTGGTGTTAGAGGATGCAGGTGCCCCTGCCCAACAGTCATCAGCATCATAACTGTGGGAGGGGAGGTTGTCCAAACCTAGACAATGCCCCATCCCAGCTGCCGAGTTATTCATTCCAGCCACCAGCTGGAGTCCCCTTAACCTTGTTACCACCAGCTGCTTCCAGGGCAGGGTTGGTAAAAATGCACCATCACCAGGGGTCTCACTTGAGCTCAGCTCAGCGGGTGCTGAGTGAGTGGGTCTGACTGACATCTGGGCAGAGGCGCTGCAGGGGGCCTGGCGGTTACCTGTCCAGCTCTCCCTGCAGCCTCTGGTTCTCCTCCGTGGCCATGGCACTCATCCTCTGCTCCTGCTGCAGAGCCTCCCGCTCGGTGGTCAAGAGCGTCCCCAGCTGCTCCAGCGCCGCCTTATGTTGGAGCTGGTCCTTGTAGCTGTTGAAGGGAAACACACCCACTAGGAATGGACACCCAGGGAGACTTCAAAGCCTGGGTGAGCGGCTTCTCTCTGCAGAGCTGAGGGAGAGTGTGATGGTCAGGGGACGGAGCTGGACAAAGAGAAGGGACAGACACTGGGCCAGCTCTGGGGGTCTCCTACAGCCCAGGAGCCAAGTACCCCTCCTCCCACCCAAGGTGTCTCCATGGTCCCTTCCATCCCTGTCAAAACAGCCTCCCTCCTTAATCCCACTTGGAACAAAACCACTGTTTTCTGAACTCCACACGCTTCTCAAAGAAACCACAACACATACAGGGGAATTCCACCGCCCATAACAGCTGATCCCCCTCACCGGGCCCTGGGTGAGCCCTCCGCCCCAGCTCAGGAACACAACTCTTCCTGCTCTGATCCAGGCAGCCTGGGGGCCAGAGGCTTGCCTAGTGGGGCCCAAGCAGTCACCAGGGGCAGCTGCACACCCTGCTCCTCAAGGCAACCCCAGTCCAGCCTTTGCCCTCGCTCTCCCACAGCCTCCCCTCAGCTCAGGCTTTTATTTCCTTCCTGTCTCAGTCTGCAGAGGGTCCTGCACAGCCTCTCTGGAGGGCAGCAGAGCACAAGAGGGAGCCCCTGACCAGCCCCAGGCTGTTCCTCCTCCTGCAGGAACCTTCCCTGTTCAGGGTGACTCGGGGGGACCCCCTAGGTCCAAGGTGGAGACTGAGTCATCACCTTCCAATCTTCCCCAGGCAGGCAAATCCCTTTCCAGAGGCCCTTCCTGAGGTGTCCACACCCAGAGAAAGGCTGACAGAGACCACCCAGGTTCCATGGTTTCAGCCCCTGCCCTCAGCCCTCCATCCCCATCCCTCGTCCCCTGACCCCATATCAGCTGTACTTGTACCCTCTGCCTGGAGCCAAGACCTGTGGGGACTCAAACTCAGACACCTGCTCGGGTGGCTGTTAGAAGACAAACGTTCCTTCCTGTGGCCTTTAGCCATGGGTGGAGACTGCCAGGACAGGACGTGGGATGTGGAAGGTGGGGGTGGGGGCTCTGCTGGGCTTTCAGGGCGGCAATCTTTCTCATCCAGGTTTGAGAAACGGAGCCACGGACCATTAGGGTCCCCACCTCCTGCTTCCCTGTTGTGTCTTGGAAAAGCACAGGATCAAGCATATCACAACCATTAGTAAGGACCGTCTGGCAGGGCAGAAACTGTGAGTCCTACTCCCCACTGAATCCTGGGTACGAGGCTGGACACCCAGTACATGTGCACCAGGGGAAGGAAGGAGTGAGTGTCCCAGTCAAGTGTCAGGTGAAATGAATACAGAGCCCCCGGCCTGTGTTCCAGGCACCTCCACCTCCAACTTGCAGCCATGCTGCAGACACACCAAGGGCCTCCAGCTATCTGTCCAACCAGCAAAAACCACTGAATCACACAGTCGGTCTACCAAGCAAGGAGTCACAGGCAGAACAATGAACTCCTCCCTCAGAGCAGTCAAATGCCACCTGCACAAACCTTCCCATGTGAACAGACATAAGACTATATCCACACGGTTATCATAGGGCATTGAAGGTAAGGTCCGCAGCGCCTTTTGCGGGGTAGGCACCACAGGAGGCTCCCATCAGTAGTCAGCTGGGTGCATTCCAACCACGTTAGACAGCACCACGCGCGCAGTGGGTGCTCACTAAGCGTCTCGTGAACACAGGACGGGTGCGGAGGAGGCAGTGAGGGAGATGCCACGAGGCAGAAGATACTCATTCTGGTGGGAAGGAATGAGAGTCCAGCCTTGAACAAGGACATGTTCAAGGACATGTCTTATAGGAGCAGACATCTCGGCACCCGGAAGGAAGGGAATCTGGGTGGAGAAAGGGGTGGAAGGCTCTGCAGAGAGTCCACAGGCAGCACTGAGTGAGTGCGTAAATGAACGTCATTGCCCCCAAGTTCATGCAGCAGCAGGCGCCCTCCACAGGCTCTGCAGGCTCAGCGCCCTCCCTGGACCCTGTGATGCCAAATCCCTGCACTTCAGCTGCTCCCAGGGAGTCCCAGCCTTTGCCTGGCATCTGCTGAGGCAGAGGCAAGGGAAGTACTCAGCAGGGACAACTCACAAGCACAGAAGGTGGACAGCTCCCTCCTGTGCTGCTCCAAGTGTGGGAGAGCCTCTCTTTATCACATCTCTCCCACTCTCCCCCCCCCCCACCTTGGAGTTCTCTGTACATCTCACTTCCCCCAGGCTCTGGGTCCCGCTGCAACTCCCGGGGCCACTGAAATCAGGTATCTGCCGGGCAGGAGCTCAGCCAAAGTTGGCTGACTACATGCACACAAAGCCCTGATTTGGCAAAAGCTCAAAGTTAAGATTTATGCATTTAAGGTACATCATTATTACTTTAAAAAAAAGGTGTATGAAGAGTCAGAGGTAAAGGTGACATAAGAATGGCAGAGTATTGGTAATGCTGCTGCAGGTGATGGGAACACGGGGTTTTTGCTATACTATTCTGTACACGTCCATATATTCAAAAGTTTCCAAAATTAAAAGTAAAAAAAGAAATTCAGAAGCCCAGACTTTGAGACATACAGGGAAAAGGCCTGGGGACCTCGGTAAGGCACGCCCCTGAACATTGGCAGCTGTGGTGACTTCCCGTCCTTGTCCTTGGTTTGGAGAGAAAAGGAAGAGGGGGTATGAATGCCCAGGGGAGCTGGGTCCCCAATGCTGACACCTGGTTTCCCTGAGCCTGGATTAGTGGGCACACCCTTCTTCCCTGGGGGACCCTCCTGCCCCTCAGTCTCCAGCCGCACCAACTCCACATCGCTGAGGGAAATGGTGGATTTACTTCTCTTCACTGTGAAGCAGCGGGACAGAGGAAACATGAGGGGCCAGAGTGAAGGGGGGGCAGGAGCCCGGGGAGCCGGTCAGTCACCCCCAGCCGCAGGCACCCACCTGTCACTGAGCACCTTGCTCTCCAGCTCCAGGGTCCGTCGCAGCAGTGTCTTCTGGCGGCTGTACTCATCCATGAGGGCCTCGTGTTCCCCAGACAGGTGCTCATGGAGCGCGCCCAGGCACGCGTGTTCCTGCTGCAGGGCCTCGTGGGCTGCCGCCAGTTGCTGGTGCTGGAGCTGCGTGTTCTTCTCTATGAGCGCAGTGAGCGAGGCGCTCTGGGGGCTCAGAGTGGAATTTTCCACCTTCCAGGAGGGAGAAGGGGATGTTCCTCACCAGGTTCAGGCCCAGGGGGACCACAAACTCCGGATCCCTGGATCCCCACATCCTCCCACACAGGGAAGGGCCAAGAGAAAGTCAAGTTTTGACACAAAAATAGCAGGACCCTCAGGACTGGCAAAACCCAGCCGAGCTGAGGACAGTTCTACCTGCACTCAAGGAACTGCTCTGGCATGGGCCTAAGCTTAGTCCTGGGCACCTGTCTACACATGTGACTTTTCTTGAGCAATTTATGCCCTTTCTCTGGATAACCTCCTTGGGTACCCTCTCTGACCATTTTGAAAAGTACATGGAAATTCAGTAAGGACATAGAGAACCTGAACAGCAATACCAACCCAATTAACCAGTATTTTCACAACACCCATCCAACCGCATTCAAACCACCAGAGAGTTGACCAGGGAGGAATGCGTCCTAACTCATTCTGAGGCCAGAATTACCCTGCTGTCCAGTTGCTTGTCCCGCTCCAGACCCTCAGGCTGCAGGGTGTCCAGAGACGTTTGCAGCCTCTGGTTCTCCAGCAACAGGTCCTGGCTTTCCCGCTCCAGGGCGTGGACCCTTTCGGGGGCCGTCGTCAGGGCGCTGACCTCCATGGCCAGCTTCTCATTCTCCTCCTGCAGCCGATGCAGCTCCTGCTCCAGCTCCTGCGCCCGTGCCGCCTGCTCCTTCACCTGCTCCAGATCCTGGTGCAGCTGCTGCCGCTCCCACTCCAGCTTGCTGACTGTGCTGCTGGTCTCCATCACTGTCTGGTGGAGGACTTTGTTCTCATTCTCGATGTCCTGCAAGCAGGCCTCACTGCTGGCCTGTGAACTCTCCCGTAGCGAAAGCTCCACTTGTTCAAGATCCTTGATCTGCAGGAAAACACAATGGAAAGGACACAGGCGTGATTTCGGTCCAAACTGGGAGCCCAAAGTGTAGGCCTGGAATGTTCATCTCATCATGGACCCAAAGGACGTCCTAACGTTTCCCAAAGGCCTGATGTGGACACAAGGTGAAGGGCATGGAGATCCCCACCCAGACAGTTCAAGTCTAAACACTTTCACAGAAGCCAGATGACTTAGAAACAGAAACCGCATCTTCTCTTAAAACAATGAAAGTGATTTCCTTTTGCTTTTTACCCTGGTCCACAGTGGCCCGAGAGCTGACTGCCCACCCCTGTGGCCGCTCCTCACACCACTCTCCCCTGCAGGCATTGCACATGATCTTCCCTCTGCTGTGAATGCTCACCTGCCTCCACCCCCAGCCTCCAGCTTCTCTGGCTCCTTCTCATCATCCAGGGCTCAGTGTAATTGACTGCACCGCAGGGAAGCCCTGCACCACGATTCTAAATGTCCTGCACCTAATAAGACTCTCCCTGGACCCACGTATATTCCCTCAATAGCACAGGTCTGAAGACACCTGGCTTGTCACCTATCATTCAACCTGCTAGACTGGAAGGTGTATCAGGGGAGGGTGGATGCATGTCTCTTATGTATACAAAGCACCACCCCAAGCCCCCGTTTTTGCTCTATTGAGGCTGAAGAACTCAAGTACCTGATACCCAGCCTCCCTTGCAGCTAGGGTTAGTCATGTGTCAGGTGTGGCCAATGAGATGTCCACAGAGGATCCCGGGAGGCCTTCTCTCTGTCTCTTCACCCTCCACATTCTTCCTGCCCACTTCTTGGCGAGGTTCAACAGCCACGGCCAAGACTGGCAGAGCAGGAAGAGAGAAGCCTGGTTTCTGGGTGGTGTCCCTGAGCCACTGCACCAGCACTGGGCTGCCTACCCTAGGGCTTGCTGTATTGTGGGGGTGGATTAATCCTGGAGGTTCTCCAGGGCTCTGAGTATGAAGTTGGACATTTGAAGGGGGATCTTTGTCCTGCGGGCTGTCCCGTGTGCAGCAGGACATTTTCAGCATCCTGGCCTCTCCCACCACAGCCAGCAGCACCTCCCCTCTCCTCCCCCAAGTCATGACAATCAAAAACAAGATTGCCAGTGTCCCTGGGGGCAATATCTGCCCCCCAACCCCCGCCCTGCTGTGGCTGGAATTGTTGGTCTGACTGGAGCTGACAAGGAAACTGGTATCCTGGGAATCACTGCTGGATTCCCAGGACATCCTATGATCCTGGACTCTCCCTCTTGCAGGCAGGGGTGCCAGGGGAGGCATGGCGCTGGAGGGCCTACCTCCTGAGCTCTCTCAGCCTTCAGGGTCTCTATGTCACAGAGCAGCTGTTCTCTCTCCTCCATCAGCTCCTCACAGAGAGTCTCCAGATCCTGGTTGGTCTGCTTTTCTCTTTCCATCTGGACTCGCAAGTCTTCAATCTGCAGAGCCAAAGACCCAGCCCATGCAAAAGTCCGTTTCAGGGAGTGAACTGTGTTTTAAAGCAAACCCGAAACCTGTGAGCCCCACAGAACACTTTATGAAGTATAGTAACCTCCATCTTGGGTAAAAACTGCTGTTTAAAACTTTAACCCTGCTACTCTGTAAACGTTTGCTTGCTTAAATAATAGGGAAATAAGACTACTCCCCACTCCAGAGAGGACATAAACTCTGCCCTAGACAGAGTTGTCAGTGCTGGCACCTGGCCAGGCCTTGAGATATGGTCTCATGGCCCTGTCCGAGCAAACAGGACTTTTTCTCAGAAGGTCCTGAAGTCTCATTCTAAATTTGGAAAACAAAGAGCTGAAAAACATATAAATTGAAAAGACTTCCACCATATTGGGCTCCAGAATTTGAGAAGCAAGAGTTCCTCTGGGCCTGCTAGGGCTAGCAAAAATGAATAGGACTCCAAATAAATTTGGCTTATTGATTAAGGCTTTTTCTGATTTACTGCAGAACAGGAAGGGAGAAGCCTGGGACCTCAGTGGCATCCCTGAGCCCCTGACCCAGCACTGGGAGGCCTACCCTGGGACTTGTTGTACTGTGAGGTGGATCAACCCTGGAGGTTGCCAGGGTTCTCAGTGATGCTGGACATTTCAAGTGGGATGTTTCTTTGTCCTGCAGGCTGTCCCGTGTGCAGCAGGACATTTTCAGCATCCTGGCCTCTCCCCACCACAGTCAGGAGCACCTCCCCTCTCCTCCCCCAAGTCATGACAATCAAAAACAAGATTGCCAGTGTCCCTGGGGGCAATAACTGTCCCTGCCTTCGCCCCCTTTCGGTGGCTGTAATTGCTGGTCTGACTGCAGCTGATGAGGAAACTGGTAACCCCGGAATCACTGCTGGATTCCCAGGACATCCTATGATCCTGGACTCTCCGTCTTGCAGGCAGGGGTGCCAGAGGAGGCATGGGCACTGGAGGGCCTACCTCCTGGGCTCTCTCAGCCTTCAGGGTCTCTATGTCACAGAGCAGCTGTTCTCTCTCCTCCATCAGCTCCTCACTGAGGATCTCCAGATCCTGGCTGGTCTGCTTTTCTCTTTCCATCTGGACTCCCAAGTCTTCAATCTGCGGAGCCAAAGACCCAGCCCATGCAAAAGTCCGTTTCAGGGAGTGAACTGTGTTTTAAAGCAAACCCAAAACCTGTCAGCCCCAGGGAACACTTTATCAGCCTTTTCTCAAGGGAAAACCTTCCGTCCCACTTCTTGGGGAGGTACATCAGCCACTGCCAAGACTGCAGAGCAGGAAGGGAGAAGCCTGGCTCCTGGGTGGCATCCCTGAGCCGCTGCCCAGGTCAGGCCTAGTTGCACAGTGAGCTCCCCACACCCAGACCATCACCTCTCAGCCCATGGTGTGTACTTCCAGCTCATGGTTGAGAAAAAGGCCATGGACACCAATCGGTCAGCTTCCCTCCCAGCTTTCCACTGCTCACTCTCAATGCTTCCATCTTAGGCCGTGTCCACTACTGTCCTGAGGGTCAGGCCACATTCCAGGGGCCAGCAGCCACCACTGGATGTCCTACCGGGCTTCACCCAGTTGGTGACATTCCTATTCATCCAGCTGCTCTGAGGGGTCCTCTGCCATCTCTCTCCCTCCTCTCCCCTCCAAGTAAATGGACCACCAAGGCCTGTGCTCGTTCCCCATGTGGCTCCCCCTCCACACCCCACTGCTGCCCAGGCCAGACCCTCTCCGTCCTGCCTGGATGATGCCCAATCAGCGGCCCATCACAGAGCACTTCTGTGGGACCCACCAGTGCCCACTCCCTGAACATGAACTGCCTGGACCCGCACATCTCACACTCTGTGCCTGACACCTGAACACCTTGATGGATCCAGATTCAGACTCAGGGTGGGCCCTGAGGTGCGACTCCCAGGCGAGGCCCATGGTGCTGTCCCTTCCCACTGACACCAAACTCATGACCACCTGGGAGGGGGAGAGGGTGGCTCCCTGCTAACAATGTGACCATGAGTGCATTTCCATAACTGACAGGGCCAGCAAGCAGCAGGCATTGGCGCCAGCTTGTGTCAGGGTGACGTGCTCATCTCACACCTGGGAGGTGGAAGGTACAACAAGACCTGACCCCTCCTGAGAGTGCCAGGCCCCTCCCACCCTCAGAGCTTCTGACATGGTCAGTCTGGGCTGGGGCCCAAGAGCCTGCATTTGGACTTGTGACCCTGATGCTGGTTTGGGTTGATGGCTCTAAAACTAAAACAGAGGAGCCCCAAATCCAGATCAGGAGGCTCTCAGAGCTTTTAAACACCCCAGACCGCAGGACACAGACTAGAACCTCTGGGGGCAGGACCTTCAGACACCAGCGACCCAGTGAGCAGCAGGACCAAGAGCCGGCTCCATTCACCTGGCTGGGAGCGGCCTGGCACAGGCAGGTTTACAAACTCCCAGAAAGGTCGCTGCTCTAATGCCAGCTCTGCCTACTTCTCCTGGGCTGAGGCCGCCCTGCCTTTGTCTCACAGGTCTGGGCACAGTCTCCAGACTCCTCAGAAGCAGCAGGCAGGCAGCTTCTTCCCCATGAGGGGGAGGGTCAGGCACAGTGGGGCTCATATCCGTGTCCTCACAGCACCCTGTGGGCACACTCAGCCCCCTGCCCCAACGTTGGGACCTGAGCACTGGGCAGCCCCACCAGCCAGGGCCAACAGCAAAAGGCGCTGCAAGGTGCCACGTGTCTGAGTCTTTCTCACAAGTGAGAATATCTTTCTTCTCCTTCCTTATCGCTGCCCCACTTCCTAGCACCAGGTCTGGGCTCAGCAGGAAGCAGGCATCTGCCCTGATAGCCGTGCCTGCTCTGGAGCTGGCCCTGAGGAGGAAGGCCCTGCACAGCTGTCACTCACCCTCATTCAGAGAAGGGCATCAGCCCAGGGAGTCCAGTGATCTGCCCAGAGCCCCACAGTGAGGATGCGGCAGAGCCGAATGCATGGCAGTGGGCCGACCCCAGGCCTGCTCTCTCAGATGGAGCCTGGGGTTTGTGGCCCATGCCTCCCGCCTTGTTCCCCCCTCCCCATCTTACTGTTAATCCTTCTCCCCTGCCGCCCCGTCTGTCCCAGTGAAAGGAATGTTATGGCCAACATTTGCATATCTGGTGTGGCTGCTTCTGGTCTGAAGATGTGACTGCCCCCTGTCCACACGCATCCCCCCCCCGGCTGGACACCCCCGCTGGACACCCCCATCTTCTCTGCTTCTTTTTGCGGTGGAACTGGAGCCCTCACTCCTGTCCTTCCATGAAGGCCCTCCCTTCCCCTAGGGAGAGCTCACTAGGCTGAGATGGGTTTCCATCCTCCTCAAAGCACCAGGGTTGGGCCGAGGGCTCCTGTGGGGAGGCTCCAATTCCCCAGAGCACTCGGATGCCAGGGGTCTGCTCATCAGTCCCTGTGCTGCGCTTGTGTTCCCATGATAGGCCCCAAAGTGCTGCCCCTCTTCCTTTCAAAAACCGGACTCCTGGCTAAAGGAATGAACTCTTAGATGTCAGTGCAAAGTGAGCGTGGGGGACGCACCCTCTCTAAGGTCCACAGAAGGGTCGTGAGTTACAGGGAAGGACGTGAACTTCGGGAACTAAGGTTTACACAGACCAAAGGGAGCCTACAGCCTGGGCGACACTGGGTGGTGGGAGAGCCAAGCTGGCACTGGGGGGCCTGGGACTCTGGGCCACCTGCCCTGGCTGACCCTTGTCACTCCTTCTCTGACACCTCCCAGAGGGCCATGTTGTCTGGACGTGTCCAAGGCTGGGCCTGTCCTGGCTCCAGGGAGGTCAATGTCAGGCCATGTCCCCTGTGGTTTTTAGCTGATGGCCCAGATGCACCATCGATCCAACATGAGGGAGGACCTGTGATGCAGCCAGGCCCCGAGTGGGCTGAGCAGGACAGGAAGCCCCTTCCTCCCACCAGGGGCTCGGAGCCAAGACAGGCCTCCCAAGGGCTGTGGCAGGACTGCCCGGAGTCCTACAAGGAACTGATGGAGAGAAAGCGGGGGATGGGACCCGAGAGACAGGGCTAAGGAGTCATGTGGGGAGGCGGCAGCCACCACCTGTCCTGTGTGTGTGGAGGAGGGACCAGAGTGGACTCCAGGGCAGGAGAAGTGTCGGGGGTCATCTCTCATCCCTGCCGGGAGCTGGGCCAGAGGCTACAGCACAGGCCTCTGCAGCTCACCCCTGGGGACCCGCCCCATTGGAGGTTCTCATCTTTCTAAAGGTCAAGCCTTTCTATCTCAGCTGAGGTCGGGCTGCCATATACAGAGACATTCACTGTGCCCAGACCACGTGAATCTAAAACCCAGACTGTCCGGTGGCTTTCCCTGAGCTGCGCTGCACAGAGAGACGCGGCATGAGGAGGGGCTTCCTCCAGGCCCCCAGGGAGAGGACACACTGCTTGGCAGCTTCTCTGCTGCAAGGCGCACGGAGCCTTAAAGGACGAGAAGCATGAGTCACTGAACCTTGGACGTCCCACGAGAGGCCTGGAGAAACCACTGCACAGGAGAAGGGGCGGTCCCAAGCCTCACCCAGAGATGAAGTTCCAGCAGAGCCGTGACCAGCGGGACCCAGGTCTCTGGTCTGCAGCCCACGTCCCTGCCATTGCTGGGGCAGCCTCAGCAAATGACGCTGGCAGGACCCCTAGGCTGGTCGGGACAGACATCCAGACACCTGAAAGCATCAGTCCTGCCAGGGGGTCAGCAAGCAGGAGTGACCTTGCGCCTCCCTCATCCGGAATCCCGGCACCCGTCATGGTGTGCTCAGAGCCCTCGACGCAGCTGTGTCACCCACGGTGGCTACATGGACTGAGGCCCTCTGACCCAGAATGACCTGCTCAGGGAGGCCGTCGCTAGTCTCTCAGGGCCCTTCTTGCCATGTGAATGGGGTCCTGGTAACTGTAGGATGAACCTGGCTGGTGAGCCTGTCTGTCCTCCTGGATGTCTCTTCTACTGCGCTACTGGGAAGACCTGGTTTGTCCAGAAAGGCAATGTTGTCCAGCCATCTCTTCCTCCCCATCCCCTCGACCAAAAGGAGAGAGTGAGCACTGCACTCCTGTCACCAGCAGCCATGCCCTGAAACGGCCCATCCACGGTCTCCACACGGGACCGTGTCTTCCATCGCTGCCTCCCTTCGGGACCCACCAGTGTTTTCTGTTTTATTCTTTGTTTGTTTGTTTTATGTTTTCAATATATTAAAAAGTAACAGTACAAAATGCTGTAGTTATTAAACAGGATCCAAATAAATCCTTTATAAACTAGTTCTAAAATTAAAGGGAAACATCTTGATACATAAAAGCTTTAACAGGATTTAAAATTTTTAAAACTAGAAAGTGTATAAGACTTAACTCATTCAAATGTTCAAACAGAAAGACAACATGCATAATCCCTCTAATAAAATGTGTCCTTGCACACATACCCTGATAACCAATTAGGGCAAAACTCAAAGAGCATGTCACAGAACTTACACTTACATTCTTTATGAAGTTAAACAATATGATTTATCTCAAACTTCACCAATAATCTTTCTCAAATGTTAGTAAAATGAATCATTGATGTGACATTTTCTCATTTGTTAACAAAATACTACTGTATTTTAGACTACCAACTTGAATGTTTTCTATTATATACACAAAATGTGATTCACTAATAAGCAGGTTCTTGCAATACAATAGATAATAGAGCATTAAAATATTTTCTTTATGATACAACCAATACATAGAACACGTGCCTTTCTCAATTTCTAAAAGGATTAGGAATTGTGGAACTTCCTTTTGCATAAAACCCTTTCCTCTGCATGAAGCCCTGAGGTGAAAGGCTATCCATGTAAAAGCTGTCATCACAAGTCTTCTCAGTTCTGTATTAGACGATAGCTATATGTTTAAAAAAATTTATAAAAAAATGTGGCAACTTATAAAACTGCTCTGTACAGTTTTAACGAAACATTCCCAGACCAACTCAGCCTAGGATGACCCTATAAAAACACTGTCCTTTGGACACTTGCTCGTTTGGGGATGAAGCCCCTTCCCAGCTCTCCTGCTGCCTCTTCTGTTGTCCTGGTCGTGGCTCCAGCCAGGTGGTTCCTGTCCTCACGGAAGTGACCATCTCCGTGTCCTCTGGGTGCTGCTCACGGCTATCGTGTCTGCTCCTGGGCAGGGAGGAGAGCTCTGCCTGGTTGACGCAGCGATGACGGTGTGTCTTGACGCCATTGGGAGCTTGGAGACTCTTGATAACGACGATTATGTGACTGAACTGATGGGGAAATCCTGACTGATCCAGCCGTGGAGAAGCACATTCCCCGCCCTATGGCCTCTGTCTCATCACTGCTTGTTTCTGAACGTTTTCTGGAGGAGAGAGAGATCTCCCAATTGCCTGTGGTGATGGGGCCATGTTATCCAGGCCCTTCCGTGTCTGTGAGGAGATGTAGAGGCCGGGCTTGAATGCCCACATGACGCTGGACTATGATGACTCACATCCTGGGAGGCATGGCTACTTCCTGAGGAAACTGGGTTTTGCTGGGCCTTCCAAAGAGTTTTTTTGCATTAAGTAGATTCGTTGCTTAAGTAACAGATAGTCCATGTTGGAGATTCAGAAATGCAAACCGCTTTGCTTTGCCATCCTACCTTCTGGGATTTTTACTGTTATCACTGGCCCCACCTGGCGGGAAGGGATCTGCTCCCACCACTGCCACCACTTGGCGCAGCCCACTGGCGTGAGGCCAAGGGGTCTTCCTGATGCTCCCACTGCACACTCTCTGAAGCCCAAGTCCTAGGCAACCAGGTGGCATGAGGTAAACATCATCACGCTCCTCTGACCCAGTGCGCAAGCTTGGCGGTGGGCGCTCCATGAAAGCCACGGCTCCCAGGGAGGCTGGTGGAGCAGGCATACCCGCGCCCATCACACTGGCCTGCGGAGCGCGGAGGCCTCCCTGGACTGAGGGACTTGGGACAGACACAGCGGCCGCCTTGGAAGGTGGCCCTGAACGACGGGTCCCTGTGCCCCGCGACAAGGAACACGGTGGCCTTTCGGGCTCCCCTCAATGGCCTCAGCCCGCTGGCCTCAGCGCCCGCGACAGTCTCTACAGACAGCGCCCTCCTGCCAGGCCCAAGGCGACCCAGCGGGGACCTCCTCCTTCCCAGAGGACGCGGCCAGGCGTCTGGACCAGAGTCCTTGAGCGACTGGCAGCGGCTGGAGCCCATGATGCTCAGTGAAGGGAAGGGACCCAGATGGACTGTGCCAAGGCCACCAGGTGAGATTCTCCCGGTACCTGCCCCGCCCCCTGCGGAACCGGAAATGCTGTGGAGCTCGGGGTTAGGACAATGCTTGTGTGACCTGCCACTGTGTGACCTCAGCCCGCACTTGGGCCCCGCCCGGTGCTTTCTAACAGGGCGCTGCTCTCCTTTCATGAGGCACTTACCACGCGCTGGACCCTTTGCCTGCACTAACTCACACCATCCTCACCACACCTACTAGGTGGGTACATTGCAACCCCATTTCACAGATGAAGGCAGCGAGGCACACAGAGGCCCATCGTGTGCGGTCTCACTGCTGCAGGGACTCCTCCTGCTGCCTCCTGACGCCTCTCCAGGAGGCCCCCTGCCCCCCTACCATAATGGTGGCTGCACTGGTCTCTGCCTGTCCCCCAGCTGCGCATGCTCACCAACACCTGGGTGCTCCCCCTGGCCACTTACATGCCTGTATGTTCTAGACACTACCCACAGGTACCTGCTTGCTGAGCTGCTGGTTCTCCTTCTCCAGCTCCTGGCGCTGGAGGCTGCTCTCCTGCAGGGCCAGGGAGGCGTCCTGCAGGCCCTGGATGGTGCCCTGGAGACTCTGCTTCTCCTGGTCCAGCTTCAGGAAGCAGCTAGAGGCTGAAGAGTAAAGTGGAGTCAGAGCCCATATTCCAGGGGCCTCAGCTTCTGCTCTCTGTCCCCAGCCCTGAGTCGGCCATCACCCTGAGCCCTAGGTTTGGGGGGCCTGGATGGTCATCTGGGTGCCCTCCCTCTTTCCCAGGGTGCTGTTGCTGTCTGCACCTGAGGGTTCCTCGGGCGGTTATGGCCCCTCTGCTGGCTCCGCTGGGATTGTTAGGGAAGCAAGCAGAGCTTAAGAAGAAAGCAGGTGATGGTAGAGAGAAGCCAATGCAAAAGTTCAAGATGATGGAACTGCTGGAACCACTTTTTTACAAAGTTGTAACCTGACCATCAAGTCAAGGATTGCAGAGACTAACAGATGGCAAAGAGAGTGTGTTCTCTGTGCCAGCCTCAGAGTGGTGGGAGTCCGGGTGGCTCAGCCGAGGGTTTAGAGGGGACAGGATCATTGACCCACATGTCTGTGGGTGGAAGAGACTATGGGGCACATATGCCCAGTACTTGCCACCTCTGGGTAAATTCCTTCAGTCAGAGATTTCATTTTGTACTGTCACAATTGCATTGAAAAAGAATGAGACAGGGACACAATGTCATTAAGAGTTCTCATTAGGGCCCTTGAGATAATTGCCGATAGTCTACTAGAGACCAGCCACTACGATGTCCAATCCAGTGACGAGAGTGAGAGCTGCCAGGAGACAGAAGAAGACCAAATTATCTCAAGAAATAGCACATGCTGCCGTAGTGGAGACAAGGAAAGGTTCTCAAGCGATCCAGCCACACAAAGAGATTATATCAGAATCTGAAACAATGGAAATAATGGAGATAGCAACTACTCAAGAATCTGTGCCACTCAATTCTGAGATAATGGAGCAGACAGTTAGCCAAGTACAGGGCATGCTGTCAGTTGCCCAGACTCAATCTGGAGAATCAGTCTGCAGCATTAGAACCACGCTTCTCCAGCTGATCGACGTGTTAAAGAAACCTCCTGAAACATCTGCTCCCCAACTTCAGGTCATTATAGAAATGATAGACCATGTTTTGAGAGACCTAAAGGACATTTGGGAAGAAATAGCTGACATTAAGAGGCACATAAGTCGACTCAGCCTGTCATCATACGTCTCGACATGTGCACCACAAGGCCACGTTGACTTAACACCCTGCTTAGATCCACAGCCGATTGCATCTGCTCTAGAGTCCTCTACGGGTCAGCTCGCACCACCCTCTCAGCCAAGCGAGATCCAGTCCTCCCTTGACGAGTTCTTCCGTTCATTCTCATAAGCAAAAATTAAGAAAGAAAAAGAAAAAGAATGAGAAAGTATAGCCAAATTGCTTTAAAAATTCTAGGCGAGATGAAAACATAAGGTATGGCCAGAAAAAGGCAGATTTTCTCTGTTGCTGTTAAACAGCTTGATTGCAGGAACAGATAAGGGAGCCCAAACTGAGAAGTATGGGAGTTCGCGGCCCTTCGCTGCCACCAGGAGGTACATGACATTGGATAAGCCCATGCCTTGTTCAGGAGGAACCATGAATGTTTAAGGGTCAGGGTTGGACATTCATCTTTTAAATCCAGGGTCGGAAAACTAAACCTGGGAATTCTTATCTTATTTGTTTTGATAGT